ATCATGCATGCATTGTCCAAAATGACCATCTTAAAACTCTATAAATACCCTTTTTTCTTAAACCAAATATATCACTCATTAAGCGCATCAGCCAAAAAAAAAAAAAAAATTAAAAAAGAAAAAAAAAAGAAGAAGAAGAGCTTAAGAAGAGTGAACTGATAAAGATGAAGAGCTTTGGGATTATTATGGTGATCATGACCCTTATGGTTGGTACATCAATGGGACAAGCAGGCAAATGCGTCAACGGCCAGTGTCCCAATGGGCTATGCTGTAGCAAATATGGCTACTGTGGCAGCGGACCTGAATACTGTGGTGGTGGCATGTCACCGGCGGTTCAAGCTCACCCGTCTGCTGATCTTCCTCAAATTCGTGAGGTTCGTGCTGCTCCTGTTGTTGGAGCTAAAGCCCCTTGAAGATGAACCAACTCATTATAATCATAATAATGGCTTTGTTACCTCATAAGTAATATCTTTATTGAATATTGATGAGCCTATCAAAGGCATTATATACACACTAGGCTATGTATGGTTAAGCTACAATCAAGGGGCCTAACTTCCTATAATTAAGGTTGGGATAAATATACAATATGCATTCTTAACAAATATACAGTAACAGAATATATTGATGTATATCAATATATTCTAACACTCCCCGGTAGTCGAAACGGGAGATCGTCGAATGCTTAGACTGTCCCTAAAATCCTCAAGTAAAACCAAGGGAAGAACCTTAGTAAAAATATCTGCAATCTGATGTCGGGAAGGAACATGTCCACGAGCAACCTTTTTGCGAACAAAATGGATATCAATCTCGATATGTTTAGTACGTTGATGTTGTACAGGATTTTCGGCAAGATAAATGACACTAACATTATCACAATAAACCAATGTAGCTTTTTAAATTGGACATTGTAGCTCCAAGAGTAGATTTCGCAACCAACAAGATTCCGAAACCACATTGGCCACCCCTCGATACTCAACCTCTGCATTTGATTTAGACAAGGTTGCTTGTCGTTTGGATGACCATGAGACCAAATTATCACCAAGAAATACACAATAACCAGAAGTGGACCTTCTAGAATCCGGACAACCACCCCAATCTGCATCTGTATATGTGATAAGAGTAGAAATAGAAGAAGGATAAAGATGAAGACCATGATCAAGAGTACCATGTATGTAGCGCAGAATGCGCTTGAGAGCGTTCATGAGCTCAAATTTCGGATCATGTATGAAAAGGCACACTTGTTGCACTGCATATGTAATGTTTGGTCCTGTGAATGTAAGATATTGTAGAGCCCCAGCAAGGCTCCGATAGAGAGGGGGGTCCTCAAATGAGATGCCAGAAACACTAAGTTTCGGCTTTGTGTCAACTGGGGTCGGTGATGACTTACATGAAGACATACCGGCTCGATCAATAATTTATGTGGCATACTTCTTCTGTGATTAAAATAGACCTCCTGCATGACGTGTAACGGCTATCCCCAAAAAATAGCTAAGCTCACCCAAGTCCTTCATAGCAAATTCAGAGCTAAGAAGGGTAATGATAGACTTACGAAGCTCATTAGAAGAGACAGTCAAAATAATATCATCCACATATAACAGAAGATAAGACATAGAAGTACCTTTCCGTAGACAAAAAGCGAATGATCAGAGGTACATTGAAAGAAGCCAATAGTCTGTACATAGTCAACAAATCTCATATACCAAGCCCGTGGAGCTTGTTTCAGTCCATAGAGAGATTTCTTCAACAAACAAACATGATCCAATTTATTCGGATCCCGAAATCCCAAAGGCAGATGCATGTAGACGGTCTCTTTAAGTTCACCATGTAAGAAAGCATTCTTGACGTCTAGTTGATGAATTGCCTTAGTTTTAGATAAAGCCAAGCTAAGAACAGTGCGAATAGTAGCCGGGCTAAATGTGTCACCACAATCCACGCCAACCTGTTGTGTTTTTCCATCACCTACAAGATGGGCTTTACGCCTCTCAAACGAACCATCATATTTTTCTTTATGAGCGAAAATCCACATAGACCGAATAACATTAACATTAGATGGATGGGGCACCAACTCTTACGTCTTATTTTTAATAAGAGCATCATATTCATCAGTCATGGCCTTTTTCCAATTGTGGTTAGGGGGCAGCGGTGATTTGGAGACAATGGTGAGAAGATTAAAGTGTTTCTTGGGTTTAAAAATCCCATGTTGGCTGCGTGTAACCGGTGGTGTAGGAGGTGCAGGAATAGACTAAATATGAGATGTTGGGCTAGATGTAGAAATAGGTGTGGCCTACTGTGGGCTCATGACATGCGGCCCAGCAGACGAGTGTGAGTTGCTCGGCCCAGCAGGTGGAGTAGGAGAGTGCTTCGCTGGGCCTTGGCTGGATGGTGGTGTGGTACGCTCAGCATTGTGCACGGTTTGAGTTGGAGAGGAAATGCGCTCACGGTTTGGGCCAGGTTGAGGAGCTGAGTTTTGAGCTGTAGTCCAATAATGGAGAACAGTAGGAGATAAGCCATCATCTAAGAAATTATATGTCTTTTTGAGGAACATGCAGCTTAGCAAAAGGGAATTGTGATTCTTCAAAAATCACATGACGGCTGATGATGATTTTTTGTGAAGACAAGTCATAGCACTTATATCCCCTATGGTTTGACGGGTAACCCAAAAATACACATGGTGTGGAGCGAGGTTGGGGTTTGTTTATGGTGGTTGAAGGAGAGAGTGGATACCATAAACACCCCAAAACCCAAAGATGAGAATAGGTTGGTTCTTTTTGATAAAGAATCCTAAGCAGAGATTGGTAGTTCAACTTCTTATGAGGAAGAATATTGAGAAGGTAAGTCGCCATTTGCAAAGCATGATGCCAAAAAGAGGGAGGTAAAGAGGCATGGACAAGAAGAGTACGAACAATATTGTTAATCGTATGGATTTTTCTTTCAGCTTTTCCATTTTGTGGAGATGTATGAGGACATGATAGACGAAAAGAAAAACCATGCTTTTTACAAAATTCCCAAAACGGTCCATTATCAAATTCCCTTCCATTATCACATTGTAAGTTCTTAAGACCCCGTTCAAATTGAGTTTGGATGAAAGTTCTAAAATTCAAAAGAGTATAATAAACATCAGATTTGTTAGACAATGGGAAGGTCCACAAAAAATTAGAAAAATTATCCAATAATAAGATATAATATCTGTGTCGAGAAGAACTCAAAACAGAAGATGTCCATAATCAGTATGAACAATATCAAAGGCATAATAGTAATAGAATTTGACGAAACAAATGGCAATTTAATATGTTTCCCAAGAGGACATGAATGACAAATACTATAATCTCCAGATTTATTACATTCAATATATTTATTCTTCCTTAGTGAACTCAAAATATTAGCTCCCGGATGACCCAACTGTTCATACTATAAAGACGGTGCTAAAGCTGCAAATGTAGAATTAGAAGAGACATGTTGCTTGGTGATAGGATAGAGTGCACCCCGACTTTACATCTCATTAGACGCATCCCCGTCTGAAAGTTCTTCACAGAAAACCAAAAAGGATCAAATTCAATTGAAACTGAATTCTCAGTTGTAAACTTTCGAACTGACACTAAATTCTTGATAAGGTGAGGGGCATGGAGGACATTTTTAAGTGCTAAAGGAGGATGGGGAGACTTTAAGTGAGTATGAACATAGCCATGAATAGGAATAGATTGACCATTGCCAACAGTTATACCACATTTATTGCTCAAATTAAAATAAGGCGTGAGACTACCTTGGCCGGATGTCATATGAGAAGTGGCGCTGGTGTCCATGTACCAGTTTGGATCCGGTGGAGTAATGCTAAGGGTGTGCATCTCCGCTTCTATGTCAGTTGGAGTTGGGTCTAGAAGCAGAGTAGGCATGCTGAGGTCTCAGCCCAAGAATACCATCCTGCTGGTGCTGATTTTGCTGAGCATTGGGCCTGGCTAGACCTGGCAAATTGGTCGTTTGGGTCAAGTACGGGTTGGGTCAATTTCAATTTCGGGTATGGCTCGCGTCAGGTATCGGGTTGAGTTCGGGTCGGGTCAATTTTGGGTTGGGTTATGTTCGGGTTGTTCCATTTAATTTGTAGATCTAATTCAAATCAATAATTTTATATTTTATTATTGTTATAATAAGAACTATTAATTCGGTTTATGAGTGTGGCTACAGTTGAAGATGAACAATTTAAATTATTTTTGGCAGTACACATTTTTAGTTCAATTATAAGGTAATTTTAGTTAGGGACATTTTGAGTATTGGGTCGGGTCAATTTTGAGTATCGGGTTTGTTCGTGTCAAACAATTCGGGTCAATTTCGGGTCGGGTCAACTTTGGGTCGGTCAATTTGGGTGTCGAGTCAGGATCGGGTCAACTCTATTTTCGGATCAGGTCAATTTTGGGCTTTGGGTCATTTTAGGGTACTTATATTTGGGTCGTTTTCGGGTCATGGGTCGGGTCATCGGGTCAGGGTCAAAATTACCAGGTTTAGGCCTGGCCCTAAGAGCCGTGGGAAATGGACAGGGAGGAATTTCCCACTACATCCATGGCCAGGGCCACTGCTGGGTCGACCACTGGTTCGGGGCTTGTTGTTGGCCACCGTTCCGGTTGGTACTGGTGCCGCCCTTGCCCCCACCACCGGAGCTTCCACCGCCGGATTTGCCTTTTCCACCACCTCGACCCCCTGATGAGTTGCGATTCTTCCCAGAGTTGCGATCGTGTGGTCGTTTCCCACCATTGTGATGACAATGAGAACCGGATTGCTTAGCCTCGTCGTGGGAATCATCTGAGTCTTGAGCCACCATAGCAGAAGCGGTGGTCTGGGCTGCCTTCCTCAAGCCCGCTTCTTTAAGAACGAGCATGGATCTGGCTTGATAAAATTGCGGTAACGGGTCACTTTAGCGAATTAGAGTGGCCACCCCCTTGTAAGTATCGGTGAAGCCGGACACCAATTGGAGAACTAGACGGTTATTGTCCACCGGAGAGTCGACGTTCCTAAGTTGATCCGACCAAGGACTTGAGATGTTGACAGTATGCAGAGGCATTTGGGAAATTCTCCATGTCTGTGTGAGTGAAGTCATACTCAAGAGTTACGGCACGGGAATGTTTTTTGTCTTGGAAGATATCACGCAACCTTTTCCAAGCCTCCATTGCTGTGGTGTTGGGTTCAAGAATGCTGTTTAGCAGATCATGTGAGATCGTGGCATAAATCCACTGAAGAACGGTAGCATCGAGAGTCGACCACAATTCTTTTTCTTCCTCGGTCGTAAGCGACTTCTCCTTACCCTTGGCCGGAGGAATGATATGATCAAGCACCTTATGAGATTTTGCGTGAATCTTAAAGAGTTTCGCCATGTTGCATAATGAACGTTTTCCATCTCAAGAGTGATTGGAACAAGGTTCTTGATGTTGGTAACAGCAAGAGCCGGATGAAAGGAGGTCTTTGAGTCACCCATGGAGGATTAAAAAAAAAAGAAGAAGAAGGATGCAACAGAGAGTGGCTAGGGTGCGGAAGAAAGAAGTTCGTATCCCTAGCAATGTAATACCATGAAAGAAGATAATTCCTTGAATATTGATGAGTCTATCAAAGGCATTATATACACACTAGGCTACGTATGGTTAAGCTACAATCAAGAGCCTAACTTCCTATAATTAAGGAAGGGATAAATATACAATATACATTCTTAACAAATATACAGTAACAGAATATATTGATGCATATCAATATATTCTAACATTTACAGAATATATTGATGCATATCAATATATTCTAACATTTATGCCTTACTACTTGCTTATATTATCCAATATGAATAAGCTCCTATACGTATAGGGGCATTTTAATAAACTTATCGTATGTTGTAACTTATCTTGTTTGTGTTGTCATAAGATGAATGAATATATATTGTTCTTCTTATATTATCTTACATGTTTGCTTATTAATAATTTCTTCAAACTACATAGTGTTGTTAATTGGTCGTTATATGAATGAGTTCTTACCTTGCCAATTACATTTCTACTGTTTATCGAAAAATGGTGATTATTCTAAGTTAATTGTATGAATATGTTCTTACCCGCCCCAATCTAAATGCATTAGTATATGTGATCAAGTTGGTAGGAGCTGAAGGATATAGATGTAACCTGTGATCAAGGGTATCCTTGATGTATTGTAGAATGCGTTTCAGTGCATCATAATGAGCTTCCCTAGGGTATGCATGAAAAAATAAATAGATATACTGACCTACATATGCTATATTAGGGTGTCTTAACTTCGATCAATTTGGGGAAAAATAAGCAGAACAAAACTTAGAGAGACAAAGCTTAATGAGAAAGAAGAGAATAATTTTTGTTATTGAGTGAATAAGGAAAATTGCAGAGAGAAGAGTATTTATAACTTATTAATACAAGCAACATAAAATAGAATTAATGAGGCCCACTATAACTAACTTTTGCCAGCTGTGCTTGCTGACGGGGCAACACACTTATATCACCACTATTCTTCACAGGGTGAGTTAAAGTAAGGTACTATAAAGCACACGCTGGCCTGCAATATAGTGTTGGATCATTGAACATAGGATCGGACTTTACACTATGTTTTTACCGAAGTCGTCACAAGTTTGCAAAACTCCATACCAGCCTGCATGATCTTAGTTCATATTTCTACTAAGATATGAATATAAATATGAAGGTGTACGAGTAACAATAATCCCCGGAAAATAATTTAAAGGTGGAAGACCCAAGTCTGTCAATGGAAATCTCATATGCATGACATAAATAATGCATGCACTCACGCAGTGGAGGTACCGAAGGGGGGTTGGGGTGGGCCCTAGCCTCCCCCTTGGTATAAATTATATATTAAATTAGGTTAAATCCCGTGCAATGCACGGTTGTTAAATATTTATAATGAAAATAAATTTTATAAGATAAAGTATAAAATTAAATTAATTAACTAACCGATAAGTATTAAAAAGTATAAAAAAAATGTATTAAATAATAAATAAAAAATAAAAATAAAAAACATGCAAGAGAAAATAATTAAATTGTTAAATTATTTTTTATAAAAAGTTTATAGTACTACTCTAAGCATTAAATTTCCTTTTCCATATATTTTCAATATGTAAATTATTATATATATATATTTTGATTTATACAAGTATAATAATTGGTTTCACTCTTTTTATAAACAATTTCAATATATATACCTCCTCTATTTTTCTTCTGTTGCACCATAAGAACTTTTAAACTATTCCCATAATCTTCATTAAATATTTTGCGATTGGTCCGTTAGGAAAATCATAGCCATATAGGATCTAGTTAGATTTGTCTCGAAATCTACTTTTCACATATCAATTTTTTTTATAATTTTTACAAAAGTATAATTAAATATATTAATAGCAAAATTAATGCATAAGTAAGCGTAAAATCACTCATGCTGCAATAAATAAAATGGAGAAAGTATATTAAGTTTGGCACCCTTAGTAAACAATTTCTAGCTCCGCCCCTGCATGCGCAAAGCCAATATGAAGATATAACTAACACAATATCATTCAACAGATAAAAGAATGTCATATCATTCCCATGTCTAAAAATGAATAAAGAATTGTCATTCTTTGCAATGACAAACCCCATCCGCAAAAGATAATTAACAAAATGTTAATACCAAGCCCTAGGGGCATATTGTAGGCCATAGAGAGCTTTGAGAAGCCTACACATATAACATGGAAACTCTTGTCAACAAAGTCAGGGAGTTGATGCATATACATACACTCATTTAAATCACCATGCAAAAAGGCGATTTTCGCATCAAGTTGGTGGATAGAACACTTATGAGCCATAGCCAAATTAAACTCAATACTATTTGAATAGTGGCCAGTTCAACAACCGGACTAAACGTCTCATCACAGTATACAACTTCAACTAGAGAATTGTCATCACATAATATTTAAGCTTTATGTTGAACTAATTCACCATTATCATTCAAATTATGGCGAAACAACTATATGCAATTAACCATATTCACCCCCGTAGGCCTAGGAAGAAATTCACATGTCCTTGTTTCAATTATATCACCTGATGAGAAACATAAATGAACTATCTTTGTTCTGAGCTATTTATGCAGCAGCAAAATGATCCAAGAGAGGATCTTTTTCATTTGTCATTTTTACAATTGATTTCTAAATGACTGCTACAACATTCTTTGTTGCCTTATATATGACAGCACTAAATACTAACCTAGAGATTTGGCATGCAGCACCACTAGGAAGTTTACAGCTCATAACTGAAACAAACAAGATACTACTATCCTATATCACCACTAACAAACAAACAAAATTACACCTACTACAACATATATTAGTTGATGTGTAAACAAGATGAGAAACCTTGTTACAATAATGATAAGTTAAAAGATTCAAAAGATTTTAAGATTCAATTATCAAGTGGTCAGTTTAGTTAGGGGAACTCTCACCCTAAGCTAAGGATATAGCAAAGAGGAACTCTCACTCGTTTGCTTGGGATAGTCTAGATGAGGGAACTCTCACCAAATCATAAACTATAAGTCTTAATCTTGGGAACTCTCACCAAAACTAACACTCTTCAAATTCGGATACTCAAATTTGGACAACAAAGTGAGCTAAACTCAAGTCACTTCAATTAACAAAACACACGTTTTAGGCAAATAATCTTGGATGATTTTCATTCATTCAAAGTATGCTATTTATAGCATCAATACAACCTTTTCACTTGCCTACTTTAATTAACAAAATGAAATAACCAAAAGGAAATTAACTAAGGGAATGAGTGGTTAATACACGTCCCACTTAACCCCATTACAAACATAATTAAACTAATTAAAAGACCTAAAGACTAGGCTTGAAACAAGGGAAAATGACCAGCCAAAATAGCATCCAAAGAGCACCTCCAATAGCCATAAACACACGCCCAAAACAGCCACTCTTCAAGCTTTTGTAACTCCCATTTTAATGCCTTGATTCACGCCTCTTTATTCTTCATAACCCCCAAATAATGAGGTGCAATGTTCAGCCAACAAACTCCATAATTTACGCCCAACAAGTGCCATGAATCACGCCACTTTAATCAGCCCAAGTAACTTACAAACGGCTAGCATGAAACACGCCCAAACCGCCTCCAATTCAGTTTGTAACCGACGCCCATTAAACGTGTATTTGGAGCTTGGAAAACCGTCACTTGCTAGATACTTTCTACAAGGTTAATTACACTAAGTGAAGTGCAACCCCTTGTAAAAACTTCCGGACCAAAACCGTGCAAAGGATTAAGGAATGATTTGGACAGAAACAATTCCTTTGCATTGCCTTGAATTTGGACCTCACCTTGACCACTTGGACCATTACAAACATTAGAACTTTGACCATATTGGTCATCCTCCTCTTCTTCAAAAGGAATTGCCCTCAATTCGTCATCATCAAAGTATGGAGCAAGGTCCCCAACGTTGAATGTGCTTGAGACACCAAATTGGCCCCCCAAATCAACCTTGTATGCATTGTCATTGATCTTTTCCACGATTTCAAATGGTCCTTCGGCTCTTGGCATAAGCTTGTTCTTTCTTTTGCTAGGAAATCTCTCTTTTCTCATGTAAATCCACACTAAGTCACCAACTTCAAATTGCTTCACGTTTTTCACCCTCTTGTTGGCTTGTTTCTTATAGACTTCATTTGCTTTCTCAATGTTCTTCCTAACTTCCTTGTGGACCTTCAACATGAACTCGGCTTGCTCCTTAGCTCCACCATGAACGAACTTGTCTTGTGGCAAAGCTATGAGATCAATAGGAACATAAGGATTGACACCATAGACCACTTCAAAAGGAGAGTACTTTGTAGTAGCGCTAGGAGTCCGATTGTAAGCAAACTCGGCATGAGCTAGCTTGACATCCCAATCCTTAGCACTCTTACTAACCAAGGTCCTAAGCAAAGAACCCAGTATTCTATTCACCACTTCAGTTTGACCGTCGGTTTGTGGATGGTGTGAAGTAGAAAACAGTAGCTTTGTTCCCATTAGGCGCCATATTGATTTCCAAAAATGACTAAGAAATTTTGTATCACGATCGGAAACAATGGTGCGTGGCACCCCATGAAAACGAACCACTTCTTCAAAATATAACTTAGCCACTTTCATAGCATCTTCGGTCTTGTGACAAGGAATGAAATGAGCCATTTTCGAAAACCGATCAACAACCACCATGATTGAGTCTTTACCCCTTTGAGTTCTAGGTAAAGCCACAATGAAATCCATGCTCACATCTTCCCAAGGTCTTTCCGGAACTGGCAAAGGCTTGTAGAGACCTTTGTGAAACACCATCTTGGCCCTTTGACAAGTAG